AAATCATGAGCTAATAACCAGAGAAAGACAACCTGATCACCTTACTCTGACAGCCCAATTCTCTCACTAATTCAAGGGCTGTGAACAAGGACTGTTGTCTAAATGTTTAGACATAATTACTCTGGCCAAATTGGGATTATTTGAGCATCAAAACGAAAATGATTTCTTAAAAACCATGCTAAAATAAATAAAGCTAAAACCATGCTAAAATAAATAAAGCTAAAACCATGCTAAAATAAATAAAGTAGAGCAGGGGAAAAAAGCTCTTACCAAAAAAAAAAAAAAAAGTTTAAACCTGGGGAACAAATTATAGAAATAGAAATAAATGTAATTTAAGTAGAAACAAATATAAAATTATTTCACAGTAATAATCCAGGCCATGGACACTGATAGCACTAGATGAAAAACTCTTAGAGGGCTGGGCTTGTGGCTCAGAGGTAGAGTGCTTGCCTGGCATGCGTGAGGCACTGGGTTCCATCCTCAGCAGCACATGAAAATAAAGATATTGTGTCCACTTACAATTAAAAAATTAATATTAAAAGAAAAACTTTAGATGACCAGATATTCACTCACTCTCAAGTTCTTACCCTTGATAATGTATTCATTACAAAGGAGAAAGGATGCCTTTATAAGAAAAAAAGACTTGTGACAGCCCGTGCCATCTGTTGAGGTACACTAACAAGGATACAATACCTTTCATTTGATCCCCACTCCCACCCCCCAGTTCTGGGGACTGAATCCAGGACCTCACATGTGCCAGGCAAATGCTCCACCATTTAACTACATTCCCAGTCCATTTTATCGAGTCAGGGTTTTGCTAAATTGCCTAAGCTGGCTTTGAATTTGCAATCCTCCTGCCTCAACCTCCCCAGTTGCTGGGATTGCAAGTATTCATTACCATATTCAGCCTATTTGATATTCTTGCCCAGATATTTAATCTGAATGAAGAAAAAACAAGACAAATCCAAATTCATGACCATCCCTGGCAAGGGGGTTAACTAACAGGGACCTTAAAAGCTAACACTTATCAGCTACTGTAGTTTGGATCTGGAATACCCCGCAAAGGCCCATGTGCTTGGTCCTCAGGTTGGTGTTACTAGAAGGTGGTGGAACTTTAAGAGGTAGGGCCTGGTGAAAGGAAGTTAGGTCATGAGCGTGTGCTCTTGAAAGGGATGCTGGAAATCTGGCTCCTTCCTATCTTTCTTTCTTTGTTTTCCTGTTGCCATGAGGTGAACAGGCCTTCTCTGCTGCACATTCATACCATGAGATCCCACCATAGGTCCAAAACAGCAGGGCTAATCAACCATGAACTGAAATCTCTGACACCGTGAGGCAAAATAAACCTTTTCTCCTTTCAAGTTGATTTATCTCAGGTACTTGTTATAGCAGCAGAAAGCTAACTAGTAAACCAGCTGACAGCATAAACCAAACCCCCTAGTCAGCAGCTGGTATTAACCATTAGACATATGAGCAAACAACTGTGCAAATTATTCTACCCTCCAGCCTATAAGTCTCTCAGATATCAGATGGCAGAGATAAAATATCTCCCCATACCACATCTGAATTCCTAACCCAAAGAAAATGAGATATTACACTATAATTATTGTTTCAAGTCACTATGGTTTATAGTAACATCTATTATTATGCAATAATAGATAACTAATACAGGCTCTAATAAAGCAGAAATCTCAAATTCCTCAACAGTACCTACCTCACAGGCTTGTTGGGAACATTAAAGAAGCTAAGAGAACGTTCGGAATAATGTGCTAAATGAACAGCAGCTAGTAAACAACTTCAGTTAGGATAGTTAGAACACGATGGAGAAATAAAGTACTCTGAGGAATACAAAGGAAAGGTATTTTGATTTAGTCCTAGAGATCAGAGGAGGTTTCCTAGATTCAGTGGAGAATTGATTTAATTGGGTTAAGAAAGCAACAAAGGTATTTCTAGCTGATAAAACAGATTAGGCAAAGATACAGAAGCACTGAACAGCATGGTTCATGTTAAAAAACAAACAAACAATTAAGTCTGGTACTGGTAAAATAGAAGAAAAACAGGAGGTGACAGGAAACAAGGCTGTAGAGGTTGGGAGGATCCCAAAACATAGAGGGTCACCTTACATATGAAGTTATGTGCTCCATAACAGGGAAGTGATACAGATTTTAAAATTTAGGTGCAAAATTCTGCAAAGGCAATATGGAACTAGATTTAACAATGGTAACACCATGGGTCTGTGAGTCTTTAGTACACAGTAATTATGGGAATCATGAGAGGACTTGAGGATGACCACAGAGAGCTTATAGATCAATAGTTCTCAGTGAGGGACAATTTATCCCCGGGGAGGTTTCTGTTGTCTTAACTGGAACAGAAGGTGGGGAGTAATTAATGTTATACAAGAAGGGGCCAAAGATACTGCTAAACATCCTATACAATACGCAGGAGAGTCCCGCACAATGAAGAATTATCCCATTCAAAATTTCAGTAGTCCTGAAGTTGAGAAATCCTGTAGAATAAGGAAAAGCAGAATAAAGGAAAACCAATACTTTAAAGTACTCACAAGCAGAGTCAAGGCTGGGAGTGTAGCTCAGAGGTAAAGCCCATGCTCAGCATGCACAAAGTCATGGGTTTACTCCTTAGCACCATGAATAACAATAATAAAAAAAGTCAACAAAGAAGTAAATCAAGAAAATGCACTATCACAGAAGTCAGAGCAGTAGAGGACTTCAAGGGGAAGGAAAAGACCCCAAAAGATTAATCCAGTGAACACGATAAACATTTAAAGTATCTAATGGGTCTGCAATTAGAAGGTAACAAGGATTTTAGTTGAAATAAACTATGATAGTTAAAGGAATAATGGGAGATGAAAAAGTATACAAAATAAATGTAGATGTCTCTTAAGAGATTTTATTGGAAAGGGCAGCAACTGGGCAGCAACTAGAGCAGTAATTAATTCTCAATCCTGGCTATAATAAGAATACTCTCAGGAACTCCTAAAAATTATCACCCAAGGGTCCCTGGGAATGGCACCCCATATCAGTATTTTTAAAAATATCCTCAGTGACATTAACGCATGGCCAGGTTTGAAAATTACAAAACTAAAGACTAAAAAGGGTAGCTGAGGAGTGAAAAGTGGGAAAAGTAAGCAGGAAAGGGAAAAAGGATGAAACAAAACCCCAGAAGAAACAGGTAGGAAACAGGTCAGGGCTGTGGGCTGTGGGCTGGCCTTGAAAAAAGGAAAGGACACCTCATTTCAGGAGACTGTCAGGAGAAATGAATGTTGACAGAGAAGCTGGACATGGAGGTTTGAGGAGTTCAGCCTAAGGCCCCAGTTTTCAGACCATGGAAGATAAGTCAGCTGCTGAGAATCAGCTAGTGGACAGGAAATCCAGAAAGGGAAATTTGGTGATGTGCCTCTCCTCTAGCACTGCTTAAGCATCCCCTACTACAGGAGCAGCAGAAAGTGAACCGCAGCATTGATCAATGGGGATTCAGTGGGTGGGAGAGGAAAAAAGGGTGTAAAGGAGAGGTTCCACAATGCAGGTCCAACAGGCAGAGAAAGAAACACAATTTATAAGCAGTTTAACTAACACAGTAGATTTACCACTGGGTACCACAAGCTATTAAAATAGTCTAAGATTTAATGAGGCTTGTCCTCTCAATTCTACTAAATCAGATTTCCTATATCTTGTATTTGTCCTAAAAAGGAATGTATGCAGTAAAACGAAATGTACAAAACACAAGGTGAACCAGACACACGTTGGAGAGCCATGTGATGGAGCAGGTGTAGTAAAACGTGACAGTCCAGAAGGCAGGGACGGGAGGGCTGCAGGTCGGGAACACCACTGTTCAATAGGTCTTTCTGAAATGACTGACATGTTCTGTAACCTGGGCTATCAAATTCGGTGACTACTAGTGCTACATGTGACCAATGAGTCCTTGAAGTGTGACTAGTAGGAATGAGGAATGTTTGATTTTATTAACTCTCCATTAATTTAAATTTAAACAGATATGGCCATGTATGGCTAGTGGCTACTGTGTTAGCAACCACTAGATCACACAACCTCAGGTCAAGTCCTTGGATCCACCACTAGCTATTACCTTATTTCTCTGAGTCTTAAGACTTTTCTTATATAAAATGAAAATAGCAACAGCACTTATTATCTTTATACAGATTAAATGTTATAAAGCAGATAAAGTATGAAACACTGTCTTGGGAACAGCTTAAAATTAATGTTTGTTATTCTACTTCTAAATGGTATCCGTGAAATTGAGGAACACCATCTGTTTTCTTTCCATTGTATCCCTAGTGCCTAGTATAGTGCCCCATACACGAAAGACATTCAACAGACATTTGTTGCATATTATTTCAGTCCCTAAGACTTTACATTAATTCTTATTAAATTTCACATTAAGGGCTAGGGACATAGCCCAGTTGGTAGAGTGCTTATATTTGCATGCACAAGGCCCTGGGTTCAATCCCCAGTACCACACACACACAAATCATATTAATAAGCCCATTGTTCCAATCTGTTGAGCTCTAGAACAGATCTCTGAATCTTTTTAAAAAATATTTATTTTTTAGTTATAATCATACACAATACCTTTATTTTATTTATTTTTATGTGGTGCTGAGAATTGAACCCAGGGCCTCACGCATGCTTAGGCAAGCGCACTACCACTTGAGCCACATCCCCAGCCTCCGAATCTTAATGTTATCCATAATACTTGATGTGCCTTTTAATGTCTTCTGAAAATCTGATAAACATATTATCTATATATGAGCCTGAAACATTATCAACAGACCTATAATTATAATTTTTCACTCTGTAGTTTATTACCCTTCGTTAAATGATATTAGCTGAATATGCAGTTTAGCTTCATTTTCAACTTGTCTTTTATGCACAAAGATAGTAAAGACCAGATTATGCTATCAGATATAGTATGTCATGCTACCACATATCACATTGCAGATGGAGACTGCCCTTAAAGCAACTACTCACCCCTCAATAGCTGGAGACCTGCCAGGACGAGCACTTCCTCGAGACCTGTATCTCCGGGTAACGGGCAGCCTTGGAGGCCTACTTGGTCCCCAGAAGTCAGTGGGAGTCTGGTGACTCCTTTCATTGGCTCTAGTATCTTGGTCCAGTGGATTGCTACTTAGAAATGGTCTAAAATCTTGGAAAAACATCGTGTGATCCAAATGGTCCCAGAGCTAGTAAAAACCAGAAATAAATCACATTAGGAAAAGGAAAAATAACAAAAATAGAAAGGAATAACTTTTAACACTTTGAAATTCAGCAGCTCCAAAATAACAAAGTATGTTTGTTTCCCCAGTTTCATGGAAAGGAAATGAGAGGTCTTTAAGGTGCAAACAGAAGGAAAAAACATCTAAAAATTGAAATAAATTATTTTCTTCATAAAGAAACAAGTAAGCTGCAGGGGGGCTGGGGTTGTGGCTCAGCAGTAGAGTGCTCGCTTAGCATATGCAAGGCCCTGGGTTCGATCCTCAGCACCACATATAAATAAATAAAATAAAGTAAAGATACAACTAAAAAATAAATATTTAGGGGAAAAAAAAAAAGAAACAAGTAAGCTAATGGCTGACCTCACTCATATCCATCCACATGCCTCTGATCACTTTCCCCTTCAGAAATATAAATACGAGCTGAAGGTATCCTGGACTTCTATCCGAAGCATAATCAACCATATATATCAACATTACAACCTTGTGTTCTGTCATAAATGACATCCACAAAGATTTAAATAAAATGACTGTACTTATACACTTTACGGGGGCGCAGTGGGGGCATCATCACCACAAAATGCAGACAAATGTCCATAAAATACTTCTCTTGACTTGGCACCTGCATCAGGGAGGGGTTATGTCAAAGCCGTGCCAAAGCAGCACAGGAATGTTTAATAAGTGCATTCTGTGGTACATACTTTTATCAGTAAAAGAGATATAGAGGAGTTACTGGGGTTGGTAGAAGAATCACTAGGGGGAAAAAAATCACCTTAAAATAATTAAAGCTTTATCTATCTGTACACCAGATATCTCAAAAGATCTACAGAATACTACTTACTGTACTCCATCCACAAAGTATGTAACACTGGTCATACTAATCCACTTCTTTGTTTTAAAGTTCTAAGTCAAGCCATGTGTGGTAGCACAGGCCTGTAATCCCAGCTGCTCAGGAGGCTAAAGACAGGAGGATCACAAGTTCAAGGCCAGCCTCACAACTCAGCGAGGTCCTAAGCAACTTAGTGAGACCGTCTCAAAATAAAGACAAAAAGGACTGGGGATGTAGCTCAGTGGTAAAGCGTCCCTGGGTTAAACTCTAGTACCAATAAACAAAGAAAGAAAGTTTTCAGTCAATGGAAGAGCTTATTCTTTAGTGTATATATAATAACTAGGACAGAAAACTCCTCAGCATGTGACCTCAGGTCTTAAAAATTCCTCAGAACCTCACCATTTCTTCCAGAGACTCACATTAGTAACAGCCTCCTAACTCAGAGAAAAGGTTAGTAACCCAGCAGCACATTAATCTGACTACAAATCCCACTCCTTTCTCATTTAATAACCTGCTATATCAGCTCTCAAAGCTATGGAGCTTGATAGGTTTACAATGTTATTTTGTTGTTGTTGTAATTTCCTCCCTTTTTAGGTTTCCATTGTGCCACATCCTGCAAGCACTCAGATATCACAGTGCCGTTGTTCTGGGTCTGGGTTTTTGTTTTCCTCCTGCATGTATCTTGATTTTTGTCATTATTGAAAGGCAGTTTTACCAGATTTAGAGTTCCTGTAGTTCTTTTACTATTTCAGATATCTTTCAGCTAAGTGTTTAATTGGTCGTGGTAAGCCTTTAACTGTTTTCCAGAGTTCTGTTAAACTTGATTCTGATAGTTTTCCCCAAGTTTTTTTGTTGTTTTTGCTGAGGAATGACCCCCAGAGGTCCCTACTTTGCCATTTTCACAGACAGCATCTTTCACTAAGGCTTTACTTAGCTTTCTCTGATACTAATAAGGCTAAATATCTTTTTGTGTACTTATCAATCATATCTTTCTTTTTGTTTATTTTTATGTGGTGCCAGGGATTGAACTCAGTGCCTCAAGCATGCTAGGCAAGCGCTCTGCCACTGAGCCACAACCCGGCCCCTCATATTGTCTTTCATGTCCTTGGTACACTTCTCTGTTTAATGAACTGTCTAACTGATTTGTAGCAGTTCTTTATATATTCTAGATATGGATCTTTCATCAGCTGCTATATGTGCAATTCTCCCAATTTTGATTCTTTTTTTTTTTTTTTCTTTTTCTTTTCTGGAGGCTCTTGAAGTTCAATTTTAATGTAGCACAAATCCCTCATGATTTGTACCTCTGAAGATTTAAAGATTCCTTCCCCAGAACAACTGTTAAAAATTTTCTCCAACAAGGGCTGGGGATGTACCTCGGTGCCCTCGGTTTGATCCCCAACACCACACAGAAACAAACAAACAAACTGTCCTCTATTTTCTTCAAGTAAGTTTAAAGATTTGTCATAAATATGTAAGTCTTTAGTCTACTAATTTTTTGTAAGACCTAACATAGGGATTCAATTTAATTTGTTTTTCAAACATAATCAATTGTTCCATACCTTTTATCAAATAATTCTTCCTTTCTGGGTCTGTTTTGAGTTATATATATTTCTGGGTCTGTTTTGAGTTTTTATATATATATACATATATACAGGTTCACTGATCTGCATAGGTACCACAGTCTTAATTATTATAAGTCTTATAACAAATTTTAGTATCTCACAAATCAATTCTCCCTACATAAATTTCAAGAATATCTTGATCATTTTTCACCTTTCATATTTATTTTAAATTAGCCTAGTAAGCTCCCCATGCAAACCCCATTGGAACACTTACTTGTAATGCAATTAATCTTTTTATCCTGTTAACAAACATCATTAATATCATCTGGGAGCTTTATTAGGAAAGCAGAATCTCAGACCCCACTTAGTCTATCTGCATCAGAAACTTTTTCACATGCACATTTAAATTTGTGAAGCACTGATATAGATTATTTTGAAGGCAATGAACATTTTTATGATATCAAGTCTTCCTACCAAAAATTCAGACTAGCTGCACTCAATCCCAATTTATTCAAGTCTTCTTTCAATGGTTATGTCTTTCAACAGTTTTGTACCTTTCTTCATAAAGGTACTGCTAAACTTTTGTTAGATAATATTACCAATTCTTTGCTGAAAATGGTAAATGGTATTTTTTTTTTAAATTCTGTGTTTTAATAGTTAATTGCTATTAACAAAAATGGTTTGTTTTTGTACTGACCTTAATATACAGAAAACTTGCTGAACTTTTTTTAGTAACAATTTTTTTCACAATATCTGTATTCTATTTTATTTTTATGTGGCACATGTGCTAGGCAAGTGCCCTACCTACTGAGCTATAGCCCCAGCCCTGAACTCTTAATAATTCTAATAATTACCTACATGGAAAACCCAAAAAACATACATAATCATATCATCTAAGAGAAACAATAATTTTGTCTCTTCCCCAACCTTTAACTTCATTTCTTCTTATGTAATTGCAATACAATACTGACAGGAAACAACTATAGCAGGCACCTTCCTCTTGTTCCTGATTTTAAAGAGAATATGCCTGACAATTGATCACCAAGTACTATGTTTTGCACTACCATTATGTTTTGAAAGTACCCCTCTATCAGATAAAACAAGTTTCCTTTTAATCCTAGTTTACTCAGAATGTTTAACATGAATGAACATTGAATTAATCAAATACTTTTTCTATATTTAGATAATTATGTTTTTTCATTTTTAATCTGTAAAATTATATCAACAGTTTTTCTATTAACACAATCTTGAATTCTCAATTTGGCTTATGATATATTACTGGATTCTATGTTTGCTCTTTTGAGTTAATTTCTGTATTTATTCCTTCAGAATACTACCCTTGTCTGGCTTTGGTACCAGGTTATACTAGCTCCATAAAATGTGCTGGGAAGCATTCCTTCTTTTTCATATTAACATCCTGTGGCACAAAAATAGAATTACTGAGTATAAGCACTTTGCTAGACAGTATTATACTACCTTCCAAACATGTACACCCATTTACACTCCTACCAGAGTACAACAGCTTATAACAGCTTACTTACTGCAATATTCTAGCCAACATTGGTAAAATGTTTTTAAAATGCTAATATACAATCTGAAAAGTAAAAAAATAACATACATGGTAAAAACACGGATAAGATCTCTCTAAATACTGAGGTACAGCACCATTTTATTTTAACTGTCATGGTCCTTCTTACACTAGACTTATTTCCCTTTGTTTCCTGTGACAGTCTCAGTCTATAACAGATCACTTGTTTCTTGAATGAAAAGTGGTCTAGAATGTAAGGTTCTTAACCCTAAATCCAAAGGAAATGCAAAAATTAAATCCCCAATTACATTTGCCATCCATAAGTGAAAAAGTATGAACAGACTCCTTCATGTTCTCAATCCATTAGGGTAAACTACAGGAAGAAATCTATCTACATAAATAAAGTCCCACATTTGAAAAAAATGCCCAATTATAACTAAGATAAGAAACAATTTTAAAATATCAAATTTTGACTAGAAGAAGAGTTAAGCTGCAAGTTCATACTTTGAATAATCTGCTTTGATAACTACGTTTTTGATTGACATCAAACTTCATAAAATGGAGAGATTCTAAAGATGCGAGTTCAGATGCAGTTTCGACATCAGCATGAGGCATTCTGCAGTTTGTTTGGGAACCGCAGACCTCTGCAGACTAATAGTAGCAGTCGATACTTGTGGCCTATTTCATCCCCAAATAATAGTGCACCCCGACCACAGAATACAGGATGAAAGAGTACACCTCACAGATCCACACCAGATCCATACTAAGGATAAGAATAGCTTCAGAAAAGAAAGAAATAGAACAACTTTAGGTCATCCGTCTCTGAGCAGACACAGACAAGCATAAGAGAAAGAAAATAGTTCATCAACAAAACTGGGTATTCAGGACACAACTTATGTAAGTAAAAACTAATAGGGAACACTATTATAGAGTTTCAGTGAAATAGAATCACACAGACAGTTCATGTGACAAATTTTGTCTTGAAAACCCAAAAAAGTGACTCTGAAGAGAAGCAAAAAGATAACATTTCCGATTTCAATATATTGAAAAA